AATATATAATATAATATATATATATGGACCTACGAGAATTCCAGTTCCACTTCGATGTCGGCCAGGAACGACCAAGCTCGGGAGGCTGCCGTAGAAGTATAGTGCATTGGCGCCCTAAACATCTGGCCGCCTTTCTGACCCTTTGCACTTCGTGTTGCCGCGTGCAAGCAAACAAGCTCTCGACATAAGTTCTCCATCGGCGTGGGCGCTTGCCTCACCGCTGTCGAAATCATTCTTGTACTGGTCCTCTACGGTCAGGCACATGCTCACGAGCCTTGGGCTGGGAGAGCACAGAAAAAGAGTTTGAGGTGCACTGCAAGTCGAAGGCAGGGAGTGACGGACCTCCAGCCAAGGGACACGGTGAGACCCAAAAGAATTCCAACCAGCACAGCTGGATATGCCACAGCGCATAGGAAGCTGGTCATGGTGATGCCTGGGCTGTTCTACTATCGAGAGCTTGCAGACATGGATTACAGAATCTCGGCTCCCTCAAAAAAGCCGCAGAAATAGCCCGCGATTCTTGACCTGTTGTCGGCCTGCTGACCCAAGTACTTTGAAGGCAAAGCAGGAAATACCAAGCGCATTGTATGTGACATCGTCGACAAGAGGCGCAAACAGACTTTCGGGGTGTGCAGACAAGGTGTGGGTGGCTGAAGCAAGGATCAAGTAGAACAAACTGAAGCGCAGGCAGAGTGTGAACTAGAATCTGACAAGGCCATCTGATGCGAAACATGATGCGACAAATACAGACCACGAAGTGAGCTCTAACATCACGTCCGAAACAACATGACAATTATTCGCACTGACACCGCAATGAAGTGACAAAGCCAAACCATCTAGACAGATCAGTGGCCGGAATGGAGAGTGTTGCACTGAATCCGAAATGCTGAACTCTAAACTCAGCCGTCAAACCCTACTTCCAAAGTCAACGTGTCCCCATTCTCCGGGAAGTAGCTATACAGGGTCACGATTGTGTCCCATTCGGAAGTCTGTGGGTGTCTTCGTAATCAGGGCAACTTCGCCCAGGCACTGATATAGGATACATCGTTCCACCTGCGAGGCAGGGTACTCGGGGCTGCACCAAGGAAACAAAACTAGGGGCCAGCAACGGCAAAGTCACTGAGCGGGCAGCAGAGAACAGCAGAGCTAAGACTCAACAAGCCGTGGCACCTACGTCCTACGTACTGACCTCGAGAGATACGGGTTTAGCAGTTTACCCCTCACGGCCTCACCAGCTTCCATGGGCCAACGTTGGAGGCGACGCCTGCGACGCAGAACGATGCAGAACGTCGAAGCGGGCCACTGCTGCGTTGCAAGACGCCCGTCGGAGCCTGCTGGATGCCATTCGCTGACCTTGATCCAGTTGCCTTCCCTCCAGACATCGGATCCTCGCGGTCTCCAGGGCAAAACAGAGCCCTGGTCTTCGTGGCTGAGACATGCTCCGACGATGGCACATACGCTCCGCCAAAGCATCTTCAGTCTCCTGTCGGAATGGTCCCGTTCTCCATGTAGACGTTGCCACGGGCGTCGATCGCGACATCGGAGAACATTTCGAAGAACTGGTCACAGGGTTGGCAGCTCATGGTGCAGACATCGTGGTTGACAGAATTCTCAAGCACAAAGCTTCAGTAGGCAATGGGAGCAGCTGTCAAATCCGTAAGGTCAAGCTACCATGACAACTGCCTGGCCCTGATCCCAACCTTGTTGCGAAGATACTCACTGCTCAGCGGAGGTAATGAAACGTTCTTCGCAGCTTGCGCCTCAGCTCAAAAATTGACTGCAATACCTATACCTATCCCTATGCACTCTTCCTCGATTGAACACGACTCTTTGTTCTGATTTGCCACCATCAAATGCAGTTAGCTGGCACGTGCCTTCAACCCTTGAGCTTAAACAAACGGAGTGGAGATGAGTGGAGCATTGCACTTCCGAGGTACTGCTGCAAAAGATGCTGCCGCTGCAGCAAACTCGAGGCTGCTAGCCTTGCAGGAGCATTGCCGTTTGAAGAAACAGCAACACGGAGCCGAAACAGCCCGCAGAACCTACTTGTAGCAACACAGGCTGAACGCAAGAGATGTTGGAGACAGCGCTCATCGAAATTCGTCGAGCTTCAACAAGGCCCAGCAGACCAGCAAGTGAGTTGTTTCAAATTAGTCCATGGCTGACGACACCTCGTCCAAGGCCGCCGGCGCAGGCTCTGCCTGCAGCCGGTTTAGCAGGTTCAGCTCCAAGAGTGCAGCTTGACACGTGGCTTTTGTGGCGACTACCTTGTAGGATAAAATCTCACGCGTCTAGTCAAGCACAAACATTAAGCCTCTACATGCAAGCCAATTACATGTGAGCCAATGAAGAGCCACAATGGTGCACAATCCAAACCACTCGGGGCTCGAAATCCGTCTGTTACAGATCGTCGGAAGGCTTCTGCCCGCAAAGCTGGCCGTCTGCCTCTTCCTCGCTCTCCTGGTCCGCTTCCAAGCGGCTGGAGGCTCCGCGTATCCTGCGAGCACGGCTGGGAGCAAGAGTGTGTATGTGGATGCATGCATGCACGCATGCATTCACGCATGTTACATTTGCATGAATGCATGTAAGTGGCATG